ATGTACACTTACAAAAAAAAACATTAATATTAACATTAACTAATTAACATGTGTGCATAAGCATGAAAACGCTCAGCTATGCACACACAATCACAAGTGCATGAGGGCAGTAAGAAGAAAATACAGATTTTATCTTCAAAATAATTAGTGTATACTGTAGAGAGAGAAACGTAAGATACGTAAGATGTGCGTGTTAATGTTACGCACACACACACACAAACACACACACACACACACACACATATATATATATATACACATATACATATAGATACATACATACATATATATGTGTGTGTGTGTGTGTATATAAGTATAGAGAGGGACACACTCACGTACACATACACACACACACACACACACACACACACACACACACACACACACACACACACACACACACACACATACACACACACACACAAACACACACACACAAACACACACACACACACAAACACACACACACACACACACACACACACACACACACACACACACACACACACACACACATATATATATATATATCTATATATACATATACATACGTACATATATATAAATAAACACACATTTGCCGTTGCAAATACATGTCACGCTGTCAATTGTATCGTAGTGATATAATACCTAATGACGCCCAGAGAGCCGTATCTGATATTCGAGTATGTATGTATGTATGCATATATGTGTGTTTTTATATATATATATATATATATATATATATATATATATATATATATATATATATATATATATATATATATATAGGTATGTATAAGTAGACAGATACATATATAAATAAATAGGAGGTCGATATGTGTATATGTATATATATAAATATATATACATAAATATATTATGTATACATACATAATATATGTACGCACCATACATCCATTATTTATTTATATATATATATATATATATATATATATATATATATATATATAAAGATATATATATAGATATAGATAGATAGATAGATAGATAGATAGATAGATATACAGATAGATATATATGTATAGATTTAGGTATATAAATATATGGATATTTATATGTACATAAGTATTGTGTATTTATAGTATATATCTATATATATGATATATATATATATATATATATATATATATATATATATATATATATATATATATATATAAATGGTTGGTAGGGTATATGTAGCTTTCGAGTTTGTACTGAATTTACGGCATACCTCATACAATAACACTGGGACAAACGGTAACTATATAGTGCCATTGTTGTATAGCCGTGAACGAAGATTCGAATCTCTCCCAACCTAAGCAACAAAGATACATTATTCAGGTTTTGAGACGGAATTCGAAAAATCTTTATGAGAGATTTTGCTGTGACTGTACAATAATAATTTCCCTACAGGTACTTTCACGCCAAGTGAGTTAGTGGAAAAGGTGAAAGCACAAGAGAACGAAATGCAAGAACTGTTGCAAAGGAAAAACCAAACTGCAACCGTCATTCGACAGCTCGAAGAACAGAGTCTGCAACTTCAAAATGAGGTCGACCTCAAACTTCAAGAGAGTCAGCAAAAGGAGGACTCAATCGCACAACTGAAGGCCAGCATTCAGAAAGTGCAAGATGAAAACCTGCAGCTTTTGGCCAAAGGCAATGACATGGAAGCAGAAGAGGCGTCCCTTCAAGAAAAAATACAGGCACTGAAAGACCAAGTGACGGGGAAGAAAACAATGTACAATCAGAAACGGGCAATCAAGGACCAGCTAGATCAACAGCTCGCACAGTTAGAGAGCAATGAGAATGCAATCCGACAGGAAATGGCCCAACTGGACGAGGACATTAGGCAGCTTCAGCAGAGGAAGACGGCAGTCGAGGGAGAACATGAAACTCAGCTAGAAACGAACGCAAACTTGAAGGAAGCTAAAGAGAATGGCCTGGCGACGAGTGGCAGTCTCCAGGCAGCAGTTGAGGAGTTGAATGGGACAGCCAGGAATTTGGAGACCCAGAATGAATCGCTGAAAGGACAGAAGAAGTCAGCCGAAGAGGAGCTGGGAAGACTGCGGGCAACACTGACCTCACTAACCAACAAGAAGAATCCGATGGAAAGAAGAATGGATGAATCAATCAATTTCTACATGGAAACATGCCTTTAGTTTAATGCCGGGCTATTTCGATTACTTATTTCACTGTATCAGAATATGCTACTTCCCAGTGTCACATTGGGTTCATATTTTAGGGAAAAATAGCAGGGAAAGAAATGAGCGCTGTGACAGGGACATAATTCTACTTTGCAACACCACAGGGAAAGTAAATTGCTTGCATTAATGATCTGTAAAGGTCTGAAAGCATTTTCTACTCCCAACAGAAATCCGCAGCTGCACAAACATCAGCGAAGCTTTGCAGACAAGGACAAGCCTCAACGAGAACCTAATCCGGGAACAGCAAGAAGCGAACGCCCAGCTGGAGGCAAAGCGCAGGGAGTTGGAGGAGAGAATCCGCCAGACAAGGATCACCAAGCAACAGATGCAAGAACAGTTCCTTCGACTGCAATCAGAGGAGCTGCAACGGAAACAGGAGGAAGTGCAGGTCAAGACGGAGAACCTCGAAGCCAAAACCAGACTTCAAAGAATAGAAGGCGAGAAATTCCAAATGAGAAACGAAATCGCGAAACTCGAGCAGGATCTGCAACTTGCCAACGAACGAATCCAGCTCACTGAAACATTGATTCCTTCCCTTAGGCAAAAGATTGATTTGGTCACCAGTGCCTTAATACAGAGAAAAAACGAAAAGATGGATGTGAGAACCTCTCTATCACAAAGTGTAAATGAAACTGAGGAAATGATCAAACGCCTCACTGCTGAAAATAGCCATCTACAGGAAGAGATTGAACACACCAGGGCAGATGACCAGACGAACACAAGAACCAAGACGCAGCTGGAACAAAAAATAGATGCACTGAACACCCAGAAAGCAGAACTGGGCAGAAACTTGGAACAAGTCAATGCACAGAAAAGTCAGGTTTCAAAATCTATCGCGAGTGTTCAGAAAGAAATCAAAGACATTGAAACTTATTTCAGGGTTTCAGAACCACGACTGCGTAAACAATGTGGACCTTGAGCACTTTTTGGATACTGTGTTAGATTTGAATTATATTCTGCAGTGTATGAACGGCAACAATTCCCAATAAAAATCTATTAATCAATTAATTTTCCCTCTTATTTCCACAAGAAAATCTAAAAGTCCTCCTGAAATTATGTTGCAACAGGTTTGATGCTTACACACTTTATAATTTGAATTCACAGGGGATCCATGCTCAAATAAAGGATATGGTATATACTTACCACATTTTTTCATAAGTGCAAGTTAAAGTTTACGACAAAAAATACACAGATTAAAGCCTAAAAGCTTGTTTCCTCATGTGAAATAACTGTCATTTTTAATGCTCTACATTATGTCGTATGTACAACTGGGTCCCGTTGAAACCATAGTCATACAGTCATAGCATCTTCACCTGAAAACACCAGATTATGAGAGGTTGCCAAGAACCACTCTTGTTGTACTGCAGTTGGTAGTCAGCATATTTTAATCACACCAGATTACACTTCATCAACGAGAAGCCATTGTGAGAATCAGCATAAGAATGTGGCCTATACAGAGTAACATTTACATCAAGTCTGGTCTAGAACAGAGGTTCACAACGTGTGGAACATGTATCCTAGGGTATATTTGCACTGTTCAGGATGAACATCTCTCACTGATTTGTAATATGTGATCTAATCGTCCTACATAAGTAACTGTCATTCTCTATACGTACACACGTTGTATTGCGTAGGTGTGTGGTACCTGCTATTACGTCTGTCCACCAATTTGTCAGGGTTTGGTTGACGGAAACTCACGATCTGGTTTCACTACTTTTATTGGTAGTGTAGCGTGGACGGAGCTTAGAATGGCCGGCTTGTGCAGAAGTAGCCCCGGGCAGCGAGTAGGAAAGGTGGGGGCCCTGGAGGGTGGCCCCCGGGCGAAGACTGCGGGAACGTGACTCGAGGAAGAGGTTGCGGGCAGAGGTCATGAAAGATGTGGGCGTGGCTTAGGTCGGTACGGCGACGGTGCCATGGGTATGCCGTCTGACTGGTCACCCATGCTAGTTGGAGAGCGTGACAATGAAGGCCTCTGACCACTCTGTGAGCCGGTACATCTTACTACTTCATTTCTTCACTACTTGTTCATCTCTTCTTGTTAAGTTGAACCTGAACCACTTGTCTCGGAGTTTTTTGCTGCTCTTCGTTCACGTTACTTGTTGGTTATTACTCAAGCTGATAGCTCGTGCTGACTTGATCTTCCGTACAGTAACACCAATTATATTGTCTGCTATACATGATGGAGTGGGGCAGTAGAAAGGGGGAAAGGGAATCCAATTAATATGAAAAAGAAAGAGAGAAAAGAAAAATATATATGTACACAAACACACACACACACACACACACATACACACACACATATACTATATAATACATATACCATATAATATATAATATATATATATATATATATATATATATATATATATATATATATATATATATATATATGTACATATATATGTGTGTGTGTGTGTGTGTGTATTATGAAGCATTTTTCACCATACACTTAATTTATTGCTCCCATGTTGACACTATTTTCTGCCATATCATTTGTTATATACTGCCTATCTCCATTCGCCTGCCGACAACGAGCTCTTTCCCCAACGTTCTCTCCCTCACTCTCACATTCTTTTAATTTCGTCATTAAAGAAAACACGAGGCCGTTTTGTAGTATGGTTAAAATGCTTTGCCATGTTTCACCGACTCTCTTTACGGACTTCAGATTTTACCAGATGGAGAATATACAACATACGATTCGCATTTGATGAAAGACATTGATGCGTGAAATATATCTAAGGATATTGCACTGATTGGTCGGCGGGAGTGTCAGTTTTTATTCATAATGTTCCAACAATGTGCGCGAAGGGGGCAGTTATGTTAGCAAGTGTATTGAAATTTCGGAAATTCTAAAACGAAAAAGATAATGATAATTAAAGGAAAAAAACTCGTTATTATAAATCTTGTTTAATCTAACTGGTAGTACCATTACTTTCATGTAGATGTTAAAGTGATAATTATGAGTACGTATATAATTTCCTTGAGGATTATCATTCTAATTATCATTAGCATCATTATTATCATCTTTGTCCTCATTATTACTATTTACTATTATTATTACTATCTACTGTTATTAACATTATCATTATCATAACTGTTACTGTTATATCATTATTGTTGTTATTTCTATTATTTTTTCATCGGTCAGTGTTGTTATTGTTGTTATTATTCATACATGTAAAGATTATAAAGTAAATATACTTTCGTGCAAAATGAAGTATAAAGAATGAGTATAATCGTGAATTAAAATACAGTGTAATTAATGAAGTAATTATCATTTTATTTTATTTTGATTTTGAATACAGTGTAATTAATGACGTAATTATCATTTGATTTTATTTTGATTAGTTAGACTATTATGGGGCAAAAAAACCGACACGGCGGTCCTTTGCCCTGTCCCTGCCTATGGATGGAGTCTGCTATCACCAACGGCTGGGCAGGAGGCAAAATCACTCCATATCTCTTGGCTCTTCTGTACCAAGGAGTCGTGTGACCTCCGTCTAAGGGAAGTGTCGAGACTGTGGATAAATTAGCTTAAAGTTATGTATTTTCTGTAGTAATGGAGGTCATGTCAGATCCAAGGATAATTTTCGTAGACTTGCTTTGTGAACGCTGAACTCAATCCAACTTTCCAAACTGTGTGATCATGATGTGCCATTGTTTATAAATTTTGTACAGAAATATGTAATATACGAAAAAAAAACAAAGTTTTGGTCAGTGTATTCCAGATTTACAAAAAAAAAAAAAAGAATAAATAAACAAATAACAATAACGATAATAATAAGGTTCATGTTGCTAGATAGCCATATATTTGAAATACAGTTTCTGATGATACAATACGAATATTAAATCGGTGCATGTTACCAGGGTTAACCTATATATTCATTTATTTGTTTTTATTTATATTTTTTGTGCTAAAATCTGATTTAGATTATTACCAAATATCTTGAACAATAATATGAGTTTATGTTCAGTCAACTTATATATCAAACAATCAAACAAGTTTCACATGTAAGTAAGTTGCTCGTGGTAAGCCCAGTGATATATAACCATGATAAAAATAACTTACTATTTTAATATATACTAAAACGATCGTAAATGTTAGTCATATGTTAAATACATTTATCTATTCGTTTTCAAGAACTGGTTGCGGATCTTTTGGGCAAAGTGGCCCTTGATCTTCCCGTTTTCTTTTCAGTTAGAGAGAGCCGGCCCAAGGGATCTTTCTCTCAAACTCAGGGACAGGAGAGGTATACCATTCCCACGGTTGTTACTTCGACTGGGCCCTCAACTTCAAACGCTGGGGATTTTAGAGAAAAATAGTCTAAATGATGAAGATGAGGATTAATTTCCCGATAAAGTCCTGGATTTTATTCCGAGAAATTGGTATAAAATTCCTTATTGGGTTGCAAGACATTCGGTTTCATTTGGCTGGATCGGGTACAATGTTCATATGCAAACTAGGTTCAACAAATACTAGTTTTGAAAAAGTTAGTCTAGGAGAAAAAAAAACAAACGACGCTTAAACTTTTCCCACAACTTTCTGTTTTGACTGATGAAAAAAAAAAAACAATTTCATTTGACTTTGGCGAAAAGAGATTAAAACTGATAGGTTCTAAGGGAGTAGACTTAGATGACTTCAAATCACTGCATAGATAATGGGCAGATAGAACCTCATTTTCAAGTTCGATATTGCTCGGTTTTATATACTTTGTGATTGTAAGGTTTCAGCTGCGCAACGCCTTGCCACAGTTAAGATTAAGGTTACAGAACTTTTAGAAACTTTTAGACACTCAAAGACTAACAAACCTCAGAGCTAAGGTTTCCTCATATCATGCAGTGGAATATCCAAACTAGGGCCTTTACCTTCATGTTTTGTCAGCAGCAGTTGCTAAGTAAGTACTCTAAGTCTCTCAGAGGATGCTGAGGATATAGTTAAAATTTTAACTACTTTTTTAGAGGAGTTAGGCCCCATAGCTGCACCTTCAGGAGTGGCATTAACTGAAATGGCTGCTGAAGCTAAAACTCGGTAAAATATCAATTGCAAGCCAGTAGGGATTTCACCCTTTTAAATGCTCTTCAAAAGTTGCAATGGGGCTTAAAAGATGAGGTTAGAAAGCAAGTCAAAGAATCATGTTATATTGAAGTATCCTCAAGGCCTGAGGTGTTTCGGGCAATCCAATTTTAAAGATTACCCAATGTCCCAGACAGATTAGAAGTATCTAAAATCTAATTCTTTGAAAAACTTTCTACATCTATATATTTTTTTTCTTCATGTGAACGACAACACTCAATTTACAAGATCTAATCC